CAAGTTCTGCTCTTTTTTGTAAGATGTATTAAAACACATTTCCCTTAAAATGTCATTGAGAATGCAGTTTAGCTGTAGAGGAACATACTTTTGTGGTGGCTGTGTTGGCTGCTGTGCTTAAAAAGGTTCCAGTCTGACACCTGTGCCATCCAATCCCATAAGCTGTACTTGTAATGAACGTTTAAATTTTAAACTTTTGTTGAAACTGTCACTAAGGTAACTGACTGGAAGAGAGGAACAAGAACCTCCAGGAAGAGAAAATAATTCTGAAGAAGGAGGAAGAAAAAAAGAAGGCAAAAATTAAAGACCCCCAAAAGCAAAAGCAGGAACTGGAAATGAAAAAGGAACTGGTTGAAATGGAGTATATGAACCTGCAGGAGGAAGACAAAGTTCTCAATGAGGAGAAAAAAGAAAAGCAGAAGGAGATTAAAGAACTGCAGGAGGCCAAGAAAAGACTCCAGGAGAAAAACAGGAAACAGAAGAAAGAACTGGACAAAGAAAAGAGAAAAATGGAGAAGGCAAACAACGAGGTGGCTGATAGAAGGGAGATGGAGCGAGAGATGATGGATCTGGTTTATGACAAGAAACAACTGAAGGCCACTAGGAAGGTTCTGGAGAAACAGAACAAAGAACTCGGTGATGAGAATGAAGGAATGGCAGAGGAGAAAAAGATCATAGAAGAAAAGCACCAAGAGCATGAAGATGTAAAGATAAAAGTGAAGGGAGCCTTCCTAAAACTCAAGAAAGAGGTGAGGGAGGAGGAGAAGGTAATGGAGGAGGAGAATCAGAAACTTAAAATGGAGACTAACAAGTTGGAGTCCAAGAATAAGAACCTCCATGAACAGAAAGAGGTTCTGGAGGAAAAAAATAAAAACCTTCAGAAGGACAAAGAAGATCTGGAGGGAAAAAGCAAAGACCTCCAGGACAGTAAGAAGAAGTGGAGCAGGACAAGAATGGAATGGAGGAGGAGTTTAACATCCTGCAAGAAAAGAGCAAAGAAATCAAGGAGAGAAAGAAAATATTGGATAAGGAGAATTGAGTTCCTCAAGAAGAAGAAGAAGAAGAAGAAGAAGAAGAAGAAGAAGAAGGGATTCTTCAGCATTTTTAACAGCACAGAACAGGCAGAACATATATATATATATATACACACATACAGGAGAGAGCGAGAGAGAGAGCGAGAGAGAGCCTTCTTTGCATAATGCTCTGTAA